TTAACTTCTGTAGTTCTGTGTAAACGTTGTTATTATGACTTCATGACTTTTTTTCAGATGTCCAAGCATTATGAGGGAAAACGAATAAATCCCATGTGATTTATCAAATAATAATATTAATACTCATCATCTCAAAGCACTCTTTGTGTAAACATAATATTATATAATCCTAAGTTTTCACCTGTAGGGCTTTGTAATGAATCGGTTTGCTTCACTTGGTGTAAAAATCTACATAAATTACTGTAACAAAGCTAACACACTCCCAATGATATTTGAACACCACTCACACTGAAGTACAACAGAAAAGCCTTAATAACATGAATTATAATTTATTATTTAAACTGGCTGACAAATGTCTTGGGAAAAAGCTTTGCAGCTGACCTGAAATACATATTCTTTGCATATATTAGGATTTCAAGTCAAGCTTCATGTAATTATCTCAATGAGTTATCATTAAGGACAGATGGCATGTGCATAATACATATAAAATCTTATTCTTCATTTTGATATTCAAAAAATAAGTTGTTGAACTTTAATTTTCAATTCATTCCTTTTACTTAGATTGGAAACTCGGCCATCTCTGATGCCAAATATTTGGCAAAACATAGTTTCTCCAATATTTTCACTTTGTGATCTTCTGTTTTCAATTGACTTAAGAGTAGCCAAAACTTGGAGGGGAACACTGTCCTGTCGCTTTCTTTTTAGATGGGGTGGTGGAGTACAATCCATGGTTTCAGCCTCAATGTGCATTGTCTGGTTCCACATTTTCCTCCTCTTGAACCACTTGTTCCACTTGACTGGGTCCATCCTGCTCAGTTGACAGTATGTTGGTTTCCTGTCACATAAAATTGGTAGTGTAAGTATATGGTATTATTTCTAAAAAAATATATTTTAAAATATCTCAAATTGATTTCAGGTGCCACAGTCAGAAGAAGAATGGCTGCAAGTTGCAGAGGGATTTGAGGAGAAGTGGCAGTTTCCACACTGTATTGGTGCTTTGGATGGAAAGCATATATCTATAAAATCACCTGCCAAATCAGGATCACTCTACTACAACTATAAAACTTTTTAGCATTGTACTCCTAGCTCTTGTTGATTCTAACTACAGATTTGTGTATGTAGATGTTGGTGCAAATGGTAGGTCATGATGCAGGTATATTTGCCAATTCATCACTGAATCAGGCACTGAACAGTAACTCCTTGAAAATTCCAGGTCCAAAGCCATTGCCTGGAAGATGTCTTGATACTCCCTATGTGATTGTTGGGGACGATGCCTTTCCACTTAAAGATAACATCATGAAGCCATATCCCCACCAGGACTTAGTTATGGAAAGGAAAGTATTCAATTACAGACTTTCCAGAGCCAGACGTGTATCAGAAAATGCTTTTTGTATACTGACCAACCGCTTTGGAGTATTTCAAAGGAGCTTATCATTAACACCTGAGACATGTACAAAGGTTGTTCTTGCATGTATTGCTCTACACAACTTTCTGTGTACAACAAAAAAGACAAAAAATACACAGAAACAGAAGTTTTTCCACTGGATTATGGAAGCAGGCCCCAATCACTACTTCAACAGGGTGGCAACAGGAGTGCCGATAATGCAAGGCAGATTAGGGAAGAATTTGCAGATTATTTCTGTTCTAATGGCCAAGTTGATTGGCAGTGGGATCACATTGTTCGATCCTATGCATGAAGTCAAATGAAGTGTTCATATGGAACAAGCTATTTTCAGCCATACCTGCAGCTATTTTCCAAGTCCAATACAGTAAAATGGCACTAATTATTTGATTTATTCATGTTCAGCTTATGTCAATGCTGACAGTAACTTGTTTTATGTAATTAATAAAATTTTGTAATATATATCTATCCATACCAATGGATGTACATGGTTTATTAAAAGTTTACATTCTTACAATACTAACCAAGTTACTTATAGTTGTTTTTTGATGAACCTGACTTCTAAGAAAAGGATCCAACAGCTTAAACCATTCCCAGGTAGACTCATAAATATCATCTCGACCAGCCCCACTTTTCCGGGAGAGGGTTTCCTTCCTTAGTTCCTTGCAATAGTAGGTCCGCAGAGCAGAAATCTTAACTGGGACCTGATCCGCTATAATGAAAAATGAAATTAAAATGTTTTCATTTGACATATAATCATGATAAATGTATACTTTAATGCAAACATTTGTGTAACCTCAAAAATATGCATATTTTTACTTTTTACCCTGACCATGCTAACAGATCTCCAATAATCATGATAATGTAAAATACTGTAGATGTTCCAATGTATATTGCTGTAATGCTCAACTACTACTGATCAAAAATATCACTAACATGTTAAACTTTAAAATAATACATGTATAGTTTTTTGCCCAAAAGAGTGAGGCACTTTTATCGTTGATTAAAATTCAGATTTGTCTCATTTTTTGGGGGGGTGGAGCTATACATCATGTTAATACTCAAAAATAGTTAAGTTTAATAGGAAAACGTCTTTTATAGAAAATTTATAGGCCTAAACGTCATCATTGGTTGAAAAACAGTCAGAAGAATGTCCAGTTATCTTATGTTCATATTTAAAACCAATTTACTTAACATGATTAAACATGAACAAGAAATAAATTTAGAATAAACATTTAATGTAAATATTCAAGACCAATTAATTACCCCGTTGAAAGCCTCACCAAATATAGGTCATTCTGCGAGAACCACGTAAACTGACAGATACCGGTCAATGTTTTCGTAAAATGTTATGTTATTATAATAAAATGAAACCTTTATAAATGGATCTTTTCATATTGTACATATGTTTATTTTACCAAAACCATCAACAATGCTTCTAAATTGCCTAAATTTGTACTGATAGCAGGCTGTGTGGTTCAATGTTTGTGTTTTGGTTGTACAGTCAGACCTCGTCTATCCGAACTTCAGATGAATGATCGAGATTATGGATCGCGGACTCTGGTTCGCCATCGATGATAATGTGGGCGATATACTTCATGACCAAATTTAGGTAAAGTCATACTAAATTTGTTAAGCAAAGAAGTAAGATTAGTTTATCAAATAGAAGCACGCGTCGAATATATTTCTGTCACTCACCTGTCATAACACCGCTCATCAGTTCGAAATGGAAACGAGGGCGGCCTGTCTGTGTTCCCGCTTTGAATAAAACGAACTAGACACATTCCAAAGACACTCGTGGGAATGGTAGTAAGAAATAAACCTTTCAATGTCATGGTTGCTGAGGTCAATTCTTTCTTTAACATTTTTCCGGCGTTGTGTCGTCCGTTGTTGTGGTATCGCCATGTTTGATGTCTGCGTAAATACCACGTGACTACGAAACGCGATCTGATTGGCCAGAACCGTACAACTTGTCGCATGGAAATAGAGCAAGTTCTATTCCTTGCAACTCGCTTGCAACTTGTTGCATGCAACAAAAATCTGTCCAACTCCCCTGTTCACACTGTGAAATTTGATGCATGCCACAAGTTTTATACAACTAGTTGCAACGTGTGAACGCACCTTTATGCTTTCCAGGTTGCTTCAGCAAGGTATGTATTGCACTGTGAGCGAAATTCTGGAAATAAATAAAGGAACACTTGTACTTTCATGTGTTCCCTTATTTGTTTCTATGAGTATATGAACCTGATACATCATATGTTGGTTGATATGACCATTATATAATGCTAATGTAAATATCAAATAAACCCAATGTTGGTTTCGATAGCAAAATATGATGTAAATATGGACCTGACACACAAGTATCTTTCAAACAGACTGTATACTGAGTTTTCCCTGATGTAAATATGTATCAGATACACTGGTATCCTACAGATATATCCTTTTCCTATATGACCTGCTCATATATTATTCATAAATGACTTAACATGGCCTTGAAAAAATATTATTGATGTAAATATGAACCTGAAAGATTTGTATCTTGGAAGTAAACCTATTGTTAATGATATTGTTGATTTCAAGATGGACCTGATACACCACTATCACACAAATATTGCTATATATTGAAGTGACCTAGACAATATATTATCACTTTACAGCACCTTGTCAAAATATTATTGATGTAAATATGGACCTAATAGAGTAGTATTTTACAAAATGAACCCTGTCTTGATATAACTCTGATGAAATAGTATTGATGTAGATATGTCCTTGATATACTTGTATGTTTTAGACTTAATGTATCCTGAGCTTTCCATGGTGTAAATATGGACCTGATACACAAGCAGCATGCCCTAAATCTTTGTTGAAATATCATTGATGTAAATATGGACCTACTACACCAGTATGTTAGAAATAAACCCACTGTTGATGTTACCAAAAGAGAAAGATGATTATGTAAATATGGACTTGATACACTTGTATCTTTCAAATACACTTGTATCCTGAGTTTTCCTTGGTATAAATGTGGACCTGATGCAGAAGTATCGTAGAATTAAACCCAATGTTGGTGTAACCTGAAAAGAAAGATGATTATGTAAATATGGACTTGATACACTTGTATCTTTCAAATACACTGTGTCCTGAGTTTTCCTTGGTATAAATATGGACCTGATGCAGAAGTACCCTAGAATTAAACCCAATGTTGGTGTAGCCTGAAGAAAAGGATGAAGATGTAAATATGGACTTGATAGATTTGTATGTTTCAATTAGACACTATCCTGAGTTTTCCTTGATGTACGTATGGACATAATACACCAGTATATTAGAAGTAAACCCAATGTTGGTGTAACCTGAAAAGAAAGATGATTATGTAAATATGGACCTGATACACTAGTATGTTTCAAACTTACTGTATCCTGAGTTGTCCTTGGTGTAAATATGTACCTGATACAGTTGTATCCTAGAATTAAACCCAATGTTCTTGTAACCTAAATTATGAATTATGATGTAAATATGGACTTAATACATTAGTATCTTTCAAACACACTGTATCCTGAGTTTTCTTTGATGTAAATATGGACCTGATACACTAGTATCTTAGAAATAAACCCAATGTTGTAACCTAAAATATATGGATTATGATGTAAATGTGGACGTGATACACTAGTATCACTCAATTAGACTGTATCCTGAGTTTTCATTGATGTGAATATGGACCTAATACACCAGTACATTAGAAATAAACACAATGTTGGTGTAACCTGAAAAGAAAGATGATTACCGGTATGTAAATATGGGCTTGATACACCAGTATCTTTCAAACTTACTGTATCCTTAGTTTTCCTTGGTGTAAATGTGGACCTGATAACCAGTATCACTCAAATAGACCATATACTGAGTTGTCTTTGATGTAAATATGGACCTGATACAGTAGTATCCCAGAATGAAACCCAATGCTGTTGTAACCTTAAAAGATTGGTTATGATGTAAATATGGACTTGATACACTAGTATCTTTCAAAAACACTGTATCCTGAGCTTTTCTTGATGTAAATATGGACCTGATGCACCAGTATAATACAGATATATCCTTTGCATGTATGACCAACTCAAATATTATTCAAACAGTACTAACCTGATGTGTCCTTGCTAAAATATTATTGATGTAAATATGACCCTGAAAGATTTGTATGTTGTGAGTAAACCCAATGATGATGTAACCGTGATGAAATATTATCACTTATTATGTTCTTGTCAAAATATTACTAATTTAGATATGGACCTGATACTGTAGTATCTTAGAAATAAACCCGATGTATGTGTAACCTAAAGAAAAGAATTGTGATGTAAATATGCACTTGATACAGTAGTATCTTTCAAATACAATGTATACCGAGTTTTCCTTGATGTAAATATGGACCTGATACAGTAGTATCTCTCAAATATTGTATCTTGTGTATTCTTTGATGTAAATATGGACCTGATACAGTAGTATCTCTCAAATATTGTATCTTGTGTATTCTTTGATGTAAATATGGACCTGATACTGTAGTATCCTAAAATGAAACCCAATGCTGTTGTAACCTTAAATGATTATGATGTAAATATGGACTTGATACACTAGTTTCCTTCAAATACTTTGTATCCTGAACTTTCCTTGATATAAATATGGACCTAATACACCAGTATATAATACAGATATATCCTTTGCATGTATGACCAACTCAAATATTATTCAAACAATACTAAGCTGATGTGTCCTTGCTAAAATATTATTGATGTAAATATGACCCTGAAAGATTTGTATGTTGTGAGTAAACCCAATGATGATTTAACCTTGATGAAATATTATCACTTATTATGATCTTGTCAAAGTATTACTAATGAAGATCTGGACCTGATACTGTAGTATCTTAGAAATAAACCCAATGTATGTGTAACCAAGCAAAAAAGATTATGATGTAAATATGGACCTGATGCATGTACGCAAGTAGCATGCAAATATATATACCCCAAAACATATGGACCTAATACACCAGTATCTTAGAAATAAACCCACTCTTGGTGTAACCTAAAGAGAAAGATGATTATGTAAATATGGACTTGATACACTGTTATGTTTCAAATACACTGTGTCCTGAGTTTTCCTTGGTGTAAATATGGACCGGACACAGTAGTATCCTAAAATTAAACCCAAAGTTGATGTTACCTAAAGAAAAGGATTATGTAAGTATGGATTTGATAGATTTGTATATTTCAATTAGACTGTATCCTGAGTGTTCCTTGATGTACGTATGGAGGTAATACACTAGTATATTAGAAGTAAACCCAATGTTGGTGTAACCTGAAAAGAAAGATGATTATGTAAATATGGACTTGATACACTTGTATCTTTCAAACACACTGTATCCTGAACTTTTCTTGATGTAAATATGGACCTGATACAGTAGTATCTTAGAAATACACCCACTGTTGTAACCTAACAAAAATGGATTATGATGCAAATGTGGACGTGATACACTATTATCACTCAAATAGACTGTATCCTGAGCTTTTCTTGATGTAAATATGGACTTGATACACTAGTATCACTCAAATAGACTGTAACCTGAGCTTTTCTTGATGTAAACCTAAGACACTTTGATGAAATGTCATTGATGTAACTATGGACCTAATACACCAGGGCCCAGATTTTCGAAGCTCTCTTAGAGCTAAGATAGTCGTACGTTAATGTTAATGTATGGCACTTACGACTATCTTAGCGCTAAGAGAGCTTCAAAATCTGGGCCCTGTATTTTAGATAATACAGATATTATCATTTGCATGTATGACCAACTCAAATATTATTCCAACAATACTAAGCTGATATGAAATAAACCCAATGTTGGTGTAACCTAAAGAGAAATGATTGTGTGAATATGGACCTGATACAGTTGTATCTTTCACATACACTGTATACTGAGTTTTCCTTGGTGTAAATATGGACCTGATAGTAGTATCACTCAAATCCAGTGTTTCCGGTGAGTTTCGAATTTACCAGTCCATGGGACTGGTAAGCCTCAAATATACCAGTCCCTTATTATTTTCACCAGTCCACTTCTTTTCCATGTTAAATAAAGATAACAACAAGAATGTGTGTGTGTGTTTGTGTTTCATTTTTAATAACAACAAACGTATCAAACTCATTCGAACATGAAATGTGAAATGACGTCACATGTTACTAGTAAACCGCAAGTTTGTTTGGCAGTACTTGTACAGTTATCAACTGTTAATTACACTTTTCTTTTCTTGGTTTTACGGAATAGTTCGGATGCTCTCGTGAAGTCGAAACGGTCATTAGCATGCATGTTGAGAATCATTAGATTGTTCATACGATGCTGCGCAAGACGGTTTCTGCTTGCAGTGTGGATTCTATTTTGCAAGCTAAATCCCCTCTCGGCAGGCACGCTACTCACCGGTATTGTGAGCGCAATTTCAGCGAGAGTACTGAAGTCTGGGAAGATGTCAGCATATTCAGTTATAAGAACTTTGCAAGTCATGTCAAAATTACCACTTCCAATGCCAGAATTGACACGTTTGAATTGCTGGAAATCACGAAGCGACCGATCCCGGTCGATATAAGGCGTCGTGACGTCATTGTTGTCTTGACCAATCACAGGGCAGAAGTGATCTAGAAGCACCGTAAGGGAATCCCCACCATAGTTGGCTAGATCTTCTTTTCTATCTGGATATTTGTCATGATTAAGCACATTGTCCAACGCTTGTAGAAGGTCCAGAGATTTCTCTGGGAATCTCCTATCAAGGGAATCCACAAGATCTTCAATAAAGCACGTCCTCATTGTATTGAAGGCTTCCATTGATCGTTTGTCAGCATAGGTTATTGTAATTCCTCGGAACTGACTCGGTCCTTCTTTCATATTCCCTTCTAGGAACTTTTCGTTCTCCCCCTTTTCTTTAATCAAATATTGGAGTGATTCCTTAGTGGACAAGACCATTGGTCCGATGATGGCCAGATTTAACACTTCTCTTTGGAAAACGGTCACAAGTTTTTCCATCAGCGGCAAAACGTCACTCAACATGTATGTTGTTGCAACGAAAGAATACGTTTTCAGTTTTTTTTTGAAATTCCAGTTGCTGCCGTATTGTTCCGTTCCGCCCCCTCCTCTTCGATCTCCATGACTAATGCAGGCCAGTTACGTTTGGTTGAGTTTACAGCCCGCCCCAAAGAGAGCCATCTAACAGCACATGGTTGTTTTATGCTCGAAAACTCGGAATCATCCAAAACTTCACTAAGTTCCCTCAGTCTTGCGTACCTCGTCGCTGAATACTGATAAAGTTTGTACACCTGATTTAATGTATTGCGGTACTCTGTAATAGTTCCTGAAAGTTTAGCAGCATCCTGTGAAGCTAAAGCCACGCGATGGGCAATGCAATGCACATGGATAAGAAAAGGTGAGTCCTGTGTAAGTCGAACACCGACGCCAGTTTTGCGGCCTGTCATGACACTGGCACCGTCAGTTCCCAAACCAATGATTTTTTCGAGTGGAATGCCCCATTGGTCAGCTACCTGTCGTACTTTCTCAGCAATGCACTCCGCATTACCGCTGTGCACTGTGAAATTTCCTAAAAAGATAGTCTCTGCTTTTCCATGGTGTACTAAGCGAGCAAACATGATGAGTTTTTTTTCCACAGTTACGTTCACAGTTTCATCCATGATTAGCCCGACAAACCGACTTTGCGACAATTTCTGTTTAAGATTCTCAATGGTACACTCAGTTAATGCTTCTTCCATTTCGTCAATTGAATCAGAATGTGAGTATATAACTCCACTTAAAGATGAACAGCCATTTCTCTTCTGTAGGTCAATAAGCCCCTTGAACTTGTTTCTTGGTACATTTTCCTTAGCCATATATAAAACTGTGCGCATCATAGCAGTCAAGCTATCATCATTTTTCGTCTGAATATCACTAATGTGAGATTCCATAGCCTTCTTTTGAGATAAACGAACCACTGCTTCATGATGGCTAGAGCTGTCACGGTGCTCTTTAAGGGCAGATTTTTGGAAATTGATACAGCCTTTTGTAAAGCCGTTTATTTTAGCCGCAGCCTCACAAATTCGACAAAACATAACACCCGCCCCCGACTGCTTTTGATTGTCATATCGGAGCCATGGAAACTCCTCTTTCCAGTCGGTATTGAATTTTCTGGACTTTTTGGATTTTGTTTCACATACTGTTTTGCTGGAAGTTGATTGTTTCTCGTTTACGTCTAATTTTCGTTTAGAACCAAAGAGCCCAGAAAGCGTCGTCTGCTTTGAGGCCGCCATTTTCAAACTGAAAACTTAGGGACCGTTCATAATTTAGAGCAAGAGGGGTGATGATGATTTTTTTAAAGAAGCATGAACAATGTGAATGGCCCCCCTAAAATGTACGTACAAATTATGTGACGCCCCCACCTTGCAAATCTTGTACAAAATCAGTGACCTCCGTCCCTTCCCACAATTTCCAAGCTTAATATTTTTATGTACAAAATTGCTTACTCCCCCCCAGTATATGTGTACAGAATTGTTGACCCCCCTGCCTCCCAAGAACAAAATGGGTGACAGCCCCTCTTAAAATCATCATCAACACCGTAGCCATACACTATGAATGGTCTCTTAATATGTCCATTCCCCATAGTAAAGTTTTCTTACTATTGGCCCCGATAGAGTATTGAAATCTGATGCATTATAACCTCACGCCAAAATGCCTCTCATCTGGATCGAGGCTAAGCGAGACGACCAGCCAATGACAATAATCGCTTGGGACTGTTACTAAAAATAGACACGGAATTCCTTACACGTATCGCATATGGTGCAGATCGAATTTACATGGAAGTTTCCTTTAATCTAACAGTTGCTGGTAATTTGTATTGCCAATTTGGAGGAAATGATTTAACCGGGTGTATTTATTGCGGTCCCAGGACTTGTTTGCCATAAATATGCCGGTCCTTTGACTTCTATTACTTCTTTTTTACCGGTAAAATACCGGCATATGCCGCAAATCTAATTAGTCGGAAACACTGATCTAGAAAACATAGTATTATTGCATTGTACCATTATATACTGGGCAAAATAAGTTAGGGATATTGGTATTTTTATGATTGATATTTTATCAGTGTGTCAGTGAAAAAATAGATCATTATTCATAATGTAAAAATTTACATATATCCCTAACTATTTTTGTCCAGTATATTTTAAGATTAACAGGTACAGTATAACATTTACCGTATTTACTTTCTGTATATTGTGAAGAAAATGACTGACAAGTAATCATATCATCTGTGCTTGAATTAGATGTGTATTATTATCCCCCGCCGCGTGTTTAGCACGAAATGGGGGATATAGTATTAGGCTCCGTTCGTCCGTCCGTCCGTAGGAACTAGATTCTTTTCATATTTGGTACCTAGGTTCATCACAGTATAAGAAAGGTCCAAGTCAGGTTTGGTCACAAGGGGACTTTAACGTTTTACCTGCATGTTAAGCTATCTCAAGAACTGTTAACTGGATTTTCTTCATATTTGCAACCAAGCTTTATCTAGGGCAGGTGCAGGGCCCAGTCAATTTTGGTGACCTTCACTTAATTTTAAAGGTCACAGAGACACTTTGAAGATTTCAGTATATTAACCTGCAGGTTATGCTTGTCAGCGAGATACCTCAAGAACCATTCAATGGAGTTTCTTCATATTTGACACCAAGCTTCATCCAGGGAAGGTGTAGGGCCGTGTCGATTTTGGTGACCTTCACTTAATTGTCAAGGTCACAGAGACACTTTGAATATTTCAGCATGTTAACCTGAATTGTCAGCAAGATATTTCAAGAACGTTTCACTGGATTTTCTTCAAAAACTTTCAAAACTTCCCTTAAATGATTTTCAATAAGAAATTTCTTTAGTACTATTTTTGCATATTTCATACACTATGACATTCGTGTCAAGGTCAAAGTCAGTCTTGAAAATATGTGTGTGTTTGAACACCTAAAGAGCAAGATATCAAGATAGGTTGACTGGTCATGTTTTTGTTGACATTTGACTTAAACTTTCATTACTTTATAAGTTTGATTTGATAATTTGCGGCGGGGGATTATGTCACCTTAGTGACAATGCTTGTGTTTATTTTGTCTTGGCTGTACAATAGAAAATATGATAAATGGACATTTTGACTTTCCTATAAAGTTAATCAGTGCTGGTTTGACCGTGCAAAGTTAATTCCAGGTCTTTCAGTAATAAGTGAACATGTGATGCTGGTTTTGATTTTTGTATTTTGGACAATAACTTAAGGTCATTTTCATAACAGTCAATCAGTGATTGAAATTTATTCAGTACACCAGTATGCAGCTGTGGTTTGGTGTATATACCAACCAGTAAAAATGAACAGCAAAAAAAGTTTCAAAATAACTATCTACAAAATTCAAAGGCTCACACAAAAAGACATCATGGATAAATTGTTTTGATCACTGACAAATATGGAACTTTTTTGGCTGGCCTTTTCAAACGTCCTTAAGTGAATATATCCTGATTTTAGGTGGACGGTCAAGGTTTTGATGTACATAATGCTTGAAAATTAAATACATTTAATCACTTCTGATATGTGTATGTATCACTTGGGGTTGGACTTCTCCATACTGGACCTTAGTTCTGACATGTGACATTTGATATGTATTCTTTGAACATAGTTAAAATTCAGTTTCATTAAAATCAGATCTTATATAATAAGTTCTTGCAACCTACAAAAAAGGATCTGAGGACATCCACATCATGTATCATGTCCGAATGGCCTTCCATCCAAACAAACAGAATCACTAGCCAGATGAGGTTGATTCAACATTGAAAAGGCTATGCAGCCTATTCTAAATCACATTTACGAGATGTATAACTGATCCATCAGAATTATCATTTCTCTCTCTCTCTCGCTTTTGGGTGAAAATATTTTTCAACTAGTGCAGTATTGAGAAATCAGCTTTGATTGGAGTCTTAAGGTAAAACTAATAAATATGTGGACCTGTGTAATGCTAAAATGTAACGTAAATTGTAGGAGCATGTTTCAACCCTTATTGATCAGCTGTTATTTGATATTTTGCCTTTACTTTTGCTTCTGTATTGCTTTGGAGTATTCGTTCTTAAACAATCATTAGAACAATTTCTTTCTTTTTTTCTCATTGGGGGCGGTGGGAGAGCCTAGTGAATAAAGCGTTTGCTCGTAATGCTGAAGACCTGGGTTCGAATACCACATGGGTACAATTGTGAAGATCATTTCTGGTGTCCCCCAGCGTGATATTGCTGGAATATTTCTAAATGCGGCATAAAACTAAACTCACTCATTTCTTTTCATTGACCTGCAGAGTTGACCAAAACAAAGATCTACTCTGGTGTGCTATAATCCAGACTTCCTAAGTTGGGAGTACTTAAATCCCCAATTAACCACTCACACCAATACATACCATGGTCTTACCCTGACACCTATGGGCTACACTGGATCAAATTCTGTAAAAGAATCATTATGGGATAACCAATTTGAGATTAAAGAACAGGCCGAATCCATCTCACCAGAGGCACATAACGTGTCAGTAAATATATACAGCCACATAAAGAAACTGTGCACACAGAAAATATAAATATAGGCACACACCGTCTTTATACGTAACACAGCAAGTATTGGAGACAATCAAACGCTCATGCACGTGCCAGGCGACGTGACGTATTTGATGGTGGCCTATGGACTTGCAATGTGTTACTGCAAGTGCAGCCTGTGCAGCTGCACACATGTGATACTCAGAAATTGCTGTCACTGTCGAAAGCTTGATCTTTGGTCATTCAAACGTTCACAAATTCACGGGAGAAGTCACATGCACATGCCAAGATAGCATCTGCTCAACGACATGAAGCCATTGGAATGGTTCGAGCAGGAATGAGCCAACAACAGGTGGCTGCACATTTTCAGTGCCATCATAACAAGATATCTGCATTGGTCAGGCGTTATCGAAACACTAATGACGTTGCCAACCACCCACGTTCTGGCCTTCAATGCTCATTTTGTAGCCTCT